CCCTACTGTATTGTTCGTAAAACGATAGATACTCACTCATATAAATTTTAAGAATTAGTTTCAAAAACAAGGAACTGTATTCGATATACGAATTGAAATCCAGTTATTTAAATATGGAATTAAAAACGTTGTAAGTCGAATCGTGATATTCCTGTTTCTTCGAATGTCAAAGGAAGAAATAACTCTGACCTCTTTCCATTTCCAACGTAATATGTCATTCGATTCAATTAATTTAAATGTGTGTAAAATAATAACTTACCGATTTCTTTAATAAGTTATAAAAATTCATGGGTGCAGAACACGAAAGAATACGGAAACATCAAGATCTTCGTTTCAGTGTTTGGTGGATTAGGGTGAATTACGAAGGGAAACTTCGTCGAGAAAAACTTTCCAGCGTGTATCGAAAAATCCTCTTTTTCCATGGCACGAAAGTTCAACAGGATTTAACATGCATATTTCCCAGCGTGTACAGAGACACAAAGGCGAAACGTATGCATCCTCGTTATTACCCCTCGTGCACGGTGCATGGATTAACTGTGCATTTTCGAATTAAAGTTTCGCATATTATTCTGCGTTATATCACCACCTAGATAACAGAACGGAAGGAACGGGCCGCCGCTTATCGTGCACACGAGTTACAACTTTCTGACCCAATTAATCATACTTTGAGCCATTTCGTCGAACAATGCGCTGACCCGTTCGATATAGTAAACGCGTCTTTGTTATCGGTAATGGCGCGAACGTCGATATCCCGATACTTTTTTGGCAGATACTTTATTGGATTATCATTGAACTTTATATTAAACACAAATTTCGACATTTTAACTCAATTTTCACCTATCTCTCGTCATCTTTTAAAATACATAGTCTGTCTTCGTAGTATTCGTTCATTATCAGCAAAATTAACGGTAATACTAATGCAAACACGATGATATTATATTTTGCTTTCACGAAAAATTATGTAATAACTAACAAGGGAAGTTATCGAACACGGAAATTTAAAAAATTATGAAACTTGGTGTGTAAGTAGAGTAAGTCAAGCCTAATACATTGAAGGGGTGAAACCGTCCCTTGAAAAAGCTGCAAATTTTTCTTTACTGTGGATTATTTTGAGAACGGTAAAAGATAGCGAAAAAAAGTGTCGCCAAATATATATTGTTCTTCTAGGTCAACAAAACTACAAAATAAAATTTTTCAAAATATCCTCACCATTAACTTTTTTTAAAAAATTTTATTTTACAACTTTATAGACATTAAAAAATAATGCATTTTTTCTTTAAATTTTTTTCGCTATCTCTTACCGTTCTTCATATAATTCATATGAAACAAATTCGCATTTTTTTAAGGGGTGGTTTCACCTTTTCAAAGTAAAATTCGGAATGAAAAAAAAACTGTAATGTATTAGGGTTAACTTACTTTCCTTACTCATAAAGTTTCACAATTTTTTGACTTTCCTTTCTTTTTTGTTCAATTTCATTTGTATTTGAAGTTAACAGAACTTTGCTATGAATTTAATAATTACATTTTGTGCTTTTGTTATGGAAGTACACCAGAATTATGAACATATCAAACATGAAATTACATTACATTATAATTATAGTGTTAAAACAATATATAAAAAGAAGAATTTAAAGCCTTAAGGATCGAAAATAAATATTCCTTTTGAGCCAATTTGATGTATATACAAGGTATTCCATTTTAATCTATGTATCTAATTATTTCTAAAACTGTTCGTTATTTAAAAAATGTCTGAAGTGCAATTTTTTTTATTTTGATGGGTTTCCGATGTAAATAGATTAAAGAATGACCTGTTGCATTTACAAATACAAAAAGAATGAGCTGATCATTTTCAAAACAAATAACTAACCTTCATATCTCCTACACACGTTCGTCTAAGTAGGGACAAACTAATTGCACCAAATATTACCGTCTCAAAGCAAGAAAAAAATCGTGTTTGAAATATTTCTTAAATAACAAAACTTCCGAAGGAAATTCGATTTATAGATTCAAATGGGACACCCTGTTTGACGCAGACATTAAAACAAAGAGAAAATATTGTTATTAACTTTATCAGAAAATAGAGAGGAGATTCAAATGGGAGGTTAGAGTTGAAATAGATCTAGGAACGAGTTAGAAGAAATTTTCGCAGAGAGTGCACACCCTTAAGTGGAGTCTGAGACGGTACACGAGACCAGCACACCGAAGGCTGAAACTACGGATCATTTATTTAGAAATCCGTCTCACTACCGACGACAGTGACTCTGCTTTTACCTCCCTCCGACTCGCGAGAGCGTAAGTCGACCCTTATGAACCCTGTTAAAGAGACACTCGCGAGGAACGTCGAGTGGAACAGGCGCAGGATAAACAGAACGTTTGTACTAGCTGACAGTGTGCACCATTGCACGTTCGGACGTTGCACTCCGCACACTCCGCGCTGACCCGATACCGTTGAAGGTGTTCTCGAGAAACTTCTGCGTACGCGAATGAAAAAGAGGGTGTTAAAAATAGGGGATTTTTGGGCTAACTGTGCAACAAAAAATGTTGTTACAGCATGATTCTTCACACCCTGTGGAAGAAAAAAATTATGTAAAACGAGACGCCGGGAAAATTATGAAAGATACAGTTGAAGGTATGTGGATGCAAAATAGGTGAACGAGTTGTGAGATGTTGCTCACGTGTAGTAATCATGCTATTTTGAATACACCAGAATGAAACTATTTATCAGTTTGTCTGCATCACAGTTGAACAATTATCTCACGTATGCTTCATCGTCTGAAGAAAGCGAGAGTACCGAATAACAACAGATTATCATCTAACTGGCCATAATATTACAACATTTACAATATTTACGTTGGTTTACTATAACATTTAACATTTTTAGAGTTATTAGTTTCCATGATTTCTTAGTACATAAGCATTGCATCGTGAAAGAATTCCATATTTTTATGTTTGAGTTGTACTTTTATCATTTTTAACAACTTAATAAACGATTATTGGGTAAAATACATTGTAAATAACACTCAATATGGGTCCCTAAGTATACTAGAAAATGGAATCAAAACAGTAAAGTTACAATCAAATGAGTTACAACCATTGTCATATACTTATCTTCAACCGCATTTTTCATAACTTTCCCGACGTCTCCGGGAATAACGGTACATAACTTTTCTGTTCCGTAGGGTCTGAAGAATCATGTTACAACAAAATTGTTTGTTGCACAGGTCCCCCAAAAATCGCCTAATTTTAACACCCTCCTTTATATAGCATTACGGGAGCAGATAATAGTTTTTTAGACGATTGTTATTAAAGTTTTTTAGAATCATATTTTACTATCTGAATAAGTATATATATAAAACAAGTTTTAAAAAATTTTAAATAACGTTCAAATGACATGTCTTGATTTATTAAAAAAAGTTTTCATTTCATTTGTCATGTTATAAGCGTCGGAAATGCCCAATACCAATGAAAATTCCTCTTCCAGCGCAGTGTTAGTCGCTACATACTGATTGCCCGTTAAAGTCAATCCCTTGATAGTGAATTCGTCCTTGCACAAACTAAGAGAGTTACAAATATACTGGCAATGTATAATGCTATATTTTCATAAACAGGGTGGGGATATTTATCAATATGCAAAGTTCCAAGGTGTCTCAATTAAATTCGTTCAACAGATTCGATTAAAAATTTATAAAAGCAAGAAAAGTATTTATTGAATTTTAAATATTCCTAGTTTTAAGGGTTATATTTTGCCCAACTCCGATACACAAAATCCGACACTCCGATCAGTAGACTACCGATTTTTATGCACTTATGGGAAATTTGCACGGAACGCGTGCAATGCAAAAAAAGATATGAACCATCCAAAGTGTAATGCCTTTTATAGTGTTGGATTATCACATAAATAATGCGGTTTTTTATATCTTTTTTATTCTTCAAAATGAAGATAAACAAATCTGTTTTTAATCGAAGACATACTCTCCTTCGTTATCTATAAATTGTTTATCTATACATTATAATTACTTCAAAAAAGGTTACGTATATCTTTATATTTAAAAATAAAAGAATTATGAAACACCGCATTATTCATTGGATGAACCAATAAGATCACTCACTCTTCCGTATCAAGTATTAGGCCGTTCCATAAATTCGTGCCGTTTATCTTTCTACCATGTAAAGTAATATTTTATTAAATATAACATTTTTATAGTTTTACGACCTATCGCACTTGAATACCTTCTACTGACTAAACTGAAACAGTTCGAACTCGTATGGCTTTATGATTACAACACGTAACGCGAGAAGTATTAACACATCGCAGCACAAACTTGTAGAACTCAATATTTATTTAGGAGAAACAAGTTTCCATTGTAATCGTATTTTTCTAATTACATTCTTGACACTAGATTTACGTGCATTTAGTATACAATTTATTCTATTGTTCTTAGAATAGTTAATGTCTGTTTATTTCGACCTTGGAAGTCAGAGGTTTAAAAATAGAGAATTAAAAATATATATTTTATGAACAAATAATGTTCATAAAATATGTCAAACTCATGCGTTTCGTAAAGCTAGTGTGAAGAATTTGAATTTTCATAAGGTGACGCGGCGTACCGATTAGAATACCACAGGTATTCTCCGTAAGAGCGAACGCCATCTTTCTTTCCTTGTTCGAACAGTTCCTTTCGATTAGCGATCTCCGACCGAGCACAAAGAGAGAGAAAATCATTGACGGGAAGAGTGAGAATTTTTTCTTCCTCCCACGTACTTAGGTATCGACGTTCGTTGAATGACGGCCGGATGTCGAAGTATAGTCTCGGAAGCTTATCTCCTCTGTTCCTCGTCCAGTCCCGACTTCCCGCCAGCGAATGAAAGGGAAGGTAACCCGGGGGAAGTCGTTCGTTCGTCCTGGCCCGATTCACGTTCGTCCTGGCCCGATTCACGTTCGTCTTTTTCGTCCACGTTGTGTCCTCCTGCTCAAAGCGGTCCCGCAATCTTTGTTGCAGATAATCAACTACGACTCGACCAGAGGCGGCGTGTCGGTAGTGACGGAGAAAGGAGAGAGCACCACGAGTTTCCTGCTTTTACAGGAAGCGAAACCATCGGATTCGGGACAATATACTTGTAATCCTAGTAATGCCGATCCTAAATCGATCACCGTGCATGTACTCAATGGTGAGTGGTTTCTCCACTTAATTGCTACGGTTTTCTCTGTCGAACATCATCCGAGACCGCAATCGAATCGTAATCAGCGCTTCACCGCCTTTTTATCATCGTCGTTCCACGGCATAGAGGAAATTAATAACTGGCCGATTCTGGCGACGCAGAGCCCTTTCATCAAATGGATTAATATTGAAAGAACAGACTCTCCGTCTTGGGTATTCAATTTAAAATTGATGAAGAACAGATGATGACGGGAAGAACGCAATCGTTAGCTTCCTTTTATTAATGAGTCCGGATCTTTTACCATTATGAGACGGCGTAGTACGATGTTTCCTTTTTCTTTCCTTTATCATTGGATGATTGAGTGTTTATCAGTAATCCCCTTGAAATTTGTATTAAGTAAACTTTTCAAAGGAGGACCTCTTGCTCTTCAGACAGCTTTATATAAAGTTACTTTAAATGCGAGGAGAAGATACGCAATGGAAGAAAACAGTGTATTAATTGCACAATTATGTACAAAATATTATTCTTCGAAGATTCTATTAATATCTCTTCAAGTATTGTATTAATATTTCTTAAAATATGTTTTCATTTTTGCGAATAAACGTTTATCGGAAATAATTAATCCTTGTAAATCATTTTATAAATAATTTTAATCGATTATTTCATCTCGATTTATTTTATCTATCTATTCGAATATGTAGCTTTATTTATTTAATAATTAATCCACTTAATTCCATATCAATGATTTATTTACCAAAGTTATTAGCTGTTAGTTATAAGCTGTCAGTTTCAATAACCCAAAAAAGTTAATTCTGAAAACCAATATGGAACAAATCATAAAGTATTGTATAGTAAAACGTGAAGACTAATACTTAGTATTAAATTCGCAATGAGATAAATGACTCGAACATTAGGCATGAAAATGTGATCATTTAAAAAATTCATATTCAGGTTCTGCATTTTATTCGAATTAATTCAAATGTTAATGCAAAATCTCCGACTTTTATATTAACATTTTAGTGCCGGAATAGTGTATAAAACTGATATTGACATCTGATAACAAGTAAAAACATAACTGTCAAACAGAATTATTTATCTCAGACCAACCTTAAAACTAAGTAAACATCACCAAACTAACAAGCAAATTTAATGGAAACAAGACTGAAGCTTTTACATAGTCAAAAACAATAAACGCAACTGAAGAGAAACGATGAAGTGACACTCGCGAAACACAAGCACCGCTTTTTATCTTCTTTCCCTTCGAAACACCGTGAGTGACCAAATATTTTTGCACGTTCCGCCGAGAGTCGCCAAAGACGTCGCGCGCTCTATTTCCGTGGACACAGCAGCAGCGTCGCCTTCAGAAAATTTAAGTGTTGTCCCCTGTTTCAGGAGAGTATCCCGCGGCAATGCAGCACGGCGGTCAAGCCAAACAACCCAGGCTCTACTCCCTTCTCCTGTGTCTATGTCTGCTGCTATACTAAGTGTATCATCCTCCGGATTGCTAATCCCCCAGCCCTTCGGCGACGGTAAACAACGGCCATGCACCGTGAGAGATCCGCCGGTCAAGGGACACCGAGGAGGCGTGCTGTCGAAGAGACCAGCAGCGCTAGACCGGGAGTCGCTAGTGGTGGTGCCAGTGACGCGACAGAGACGTCGTCGACGGTGGTGCGCGAGTGTGTCGGGAGTTCGCGTGGACAAACCGAGACCGGTAGAATGGAGACAAAGAAAAGACCAAAACAAAGAAAACAAAAAAAAATAGAAAGAAAAGAAGAAA